CAAATATAATATTTATATCAGTACATTTTTAAAACGTTCTTTTTTTTAGGTCCCATCGTGGTACATCCGAATATGATTTCTATACATGAATGAGTCAAACATCTCTAAATTAATGCATAATTTTATTTGAAGTCCTTTGTTTCACCTCCATATGTGCTTGCTCGTATTCCATGTATTCCTTTGAAGTGTTTAAATCACTAATACAAACTAGAATATACGAGTTCTATGATTTACCTATATAAGGTTGACTAAATTGATAGTCACAAAAAATCTTTGGAATATCTTCTCGTTCTAGGTTCCTACCTTAGTGAGTGGTCAGACTGGTCGGATTGTGAGGTCACGTGTGATGATAGCAACCAGAAAAGGAGCCGCGAATGTCTAACCATGAAGCAGAAAAGTAAATTTTTAAATGACTGTTTTAGGTTCATGCGTTGTCTGTGAAAAGTTTGGTGACGATGTGAGGAGTTGGTAAAAATGATGGCTCGAAACAGTTGATTACAGTTTTATTTATAACAGTACAAACCTGTTCATGCACAAAACGAGTGTGTTAACTTTTTTCGTCCTTAACATACCAGGTACACCTCCTGAAACATTATACTCTTATAACCACATCTCTTTAACTTCTTATATCCTACTTTATTCCTTTCCTTTATGTTTGCGGCGCTCCCCTACAAATCCACATGCATTCACAAGATACTTTTAAATAATACTCATTTATGTGCAAACGATTATAAAAACTTTTTCCAATCAAATACAAATAGTTACATACAGCTGTTTTTTTTTTTTTTTTTTTTTTTTTTTCATTTTTATATTTTATTGTATTTTTAAAGCTTGTATATTTAAGTACATCAACTGTTACAAAAATAATGTTTCCAGAGAAGACATCAGTGGCGTATTGGTCACCGCCTCAGAGCACTCGAAGATACCTTCAGCTTAGACCAGAGAAAGTTCGGATGTCTGCCATCACTGCTTGTTTGAGAATCAAGACCACCCTCACCTCGGGAGAAACATGTATCCTTTCTTACGCCACACCTGAGTACGATAACACCTTCCTGTTTGAGTATCATTCAGAGGGAACCATTGGTGTCTATGTTAACGGTGAAAGAAAAATCATCTCTGTCCCAGGCTATCAGATCTTTGATGGTGTCTGGCACCACTGGTGTTTTACATGGAAGAGGCGTGGAGGGAAGTGGGCACTGTATGTGGATGGCGAGAAAAAGGCTTCAGGCTCTGGTTTTGTCAGATATAAAACTATGCCAGCGGGTACGGGTCATTTACCATTGATAATAATAATAATAATGATAATAATAATAATAATAATAATAATATTCTTATATGGCGCCTTACATTCTATCTCAAGGCGCCTTACAATAATGGCTAATATACTAAAATCATTAAAATCCAATTGGAAACCATTTAAAATTTACTCTACTAAAAATCATCTTATTAAAATACATATATATATTTTAAAAAATCTAAGAGATATAGACAGAATTAAAAATGAAGAAGTTTAAGCCTGTGAATAAAGAACTGCTGTCATTGCTTTCTGAAGCAATTATAGTACTTAATAAAATATAATAAGATTGATTGTATCGATTACGTTTTTGCAATCAGAAATTGTTTACCGTGACACATTTTATGAGTGCTTTTCACCAAAAAACACTAATATATATTTAATTATCACATAATATGACATAAAATTGTATCCATAAAAGGAGGGTTTTTGAAAACGTGCCTGAATTGTTTCAGATGGAGTGTGGCTAGTTGGACAGGACCAGGATAACGTTGGGGGAGGGTTTCAAGCCGAGCAATCATTTCTGGGCCACTTGAGCAGTGTCAACGTGTGGGACCACATCGATGTTAACATCAATGCCGCGGCTAACTGTGACGACACAATCGGGGGAAACGTCATAGCATGGAATAACGTCACCGTAGTGAACCATGGGGTGGCTACATATGACACAGATCTATGTAAGTTTGTGTGCGTGTGTGTCTTAACTGTGAAAAAGCAATGTCCCATGTTAAAATAATCTATTTTTTTGTATATGTATTTCTTAGTTTTCAAACGGATACATGCAGGGCGTTATCTCTCCTGTGGTTAAGATGTCAATTTCTTTGCTTGATTGCTACTTGCTTGTCTAATTTTGAAAATTTGTTCACGGCTAACCATTTTTGATTTAACTTTTAATTCATCAGGGATGTGATTGCCTGTTGATAGTTTGATAAATACAATTTTCGCTTTTAAAATGCTTCCCATGGTCAATGAGTTACGTGATCAGACATATTATGAATCTACTGTAAAGAGACTTAATAACGTTATTAAAGGGCAAACCCATTTATACAGGGGCTGAGGTTAGCCATGGGAAGGAAGACAAGGGGAGATTATAAAGGCTGGTTTTAGGAATTATACACATCTTATAGTTTTCACACCATTGGTATTTGTGCACAATCCTTTTATAAACAAAGTTATGTAAAAAATGCAAATTCCGTTTTATATTCCTAAAATCAGGCGAATTTAATTTAGTGGCCTATCACACACTCAGATTGGTAATGCTAATATATGACCTGTTTATTCTAGGTTCCGACTCCCGAGAGTGGCCGGACCAGCCCGAGTGTGACGCCACGTGCGCAGGAGGTAACCAATCAAGGACACGAGAATGTCTGCCAGTCGGAAGTGTGTGTACCGGAAGTACCGTGGAGAAGCGTGGACCGTGTTGTGGCTTTCGCTGTGCGTAAAATACGTTGCCTCGTAGTGCTTTAATAGTCGGTAAAAATAGACTTTTCGTTGTCTCTTGTGTGGACATGGTAAATAATTTATTATAAGGGGGAGGGGAAAGCTTTCAAGTAGGTTCAACTTTGGCTGTAAATGCACCCTAAGTATTGAACTATGACGCCATGTGCACATAGTTAACTTTCTCCCCTCAGGTCAGTACTGGACAGACTGGATGGACAAGGATGACCCTTCTAAGGACGGGGACTGGGAGGTGGACGAGACGCCGGTAGGTCAAAGGTCGTCTACTCAAATGTGACACTACGCAGGTTTTATAGGCATTGTTCGATATGAGAACTTATTCTAAAAAGAGTCCCCTCGGAAAGTAGGCTGTATATACATATAGAAATCATAATATGTCTCATTTTTATAAATCTCATTAAAACATTGTTCTTTAAGATGCCAGCGTAAAATCGACTGAATGAAATATAAAATAACCAGTCTAACAGTCTAACTATATGTTTTGCTCCATTAAATTTAGTTCTAGATTTTCGCATTCTGTATTTACATTTGTATCTACACACAGGCTCTCTTACACCCGTCTGTTTTTACAAATGTAATATTTATTGGCAGGTAGGATGATTTAAGTGTTAAAAGGTTTGCCTTAATAGTTAAAAGTACATGTAACAACTGGCAGATGTGCTGGATATAAACTGTTAGATAATGCTCAACTTAATGAGAATACACATCTCGCATTTTAATTGCTTATTTACCGTTCACTTCCAGTGTGCCGCTGCTGCATTCCTATCTGAGCCAATTATTGCCGAGTGCCGCGTAGTGCAAACTCAACAACCCTGGGACGCCAGCGGCTATCAGTACTTCCTACCCTGCTCTGTCTACGGGGTCGTCTGCAGGAACGCCGAGAACGAGGTCAATTGGAGGGAAGGGGACCCCCCGGTGTGCCCAGACCTGGAGATAAGATATCTTTGTCGATATCTTTGAAATCGTGATCCAAGGACATTCTCTTACAAGATGAAATCTTGAACAGGATATATTTGTATCTTTGAATTCTTTATATCTAGACTTTAAAACAGTTGAGAAAATAAATCGGAGGGTTATTTTGGCTACAAAAAGGAAGAAAACTTAAGCGCACCATTTTGACGCACAAAACGGCTCGTACTGGGGGTGAGCCGTTTTTATTTACCTGCAGCTCTTGCAACTGTTGCGAACATTCATGTATGCTAAGTCCCCACATCTCCGTCATTCTAATTCAAAGTCCTCAATTGTGTCTTAAGACCATCAGATCAGCAGTTAGTCTAGTAGGGGAGCAGGATTAGAAAACTGCAGACAACTCATAGCCACCTGGGGGCTGCCATTGGAGCTCATGTCTGTCTATATGGCTGCTCAGTATGGCCGTCTGCTGCTACATTCGATCACATGCAAACGTTACAATGGAACCCCTCCCCCTTCAGATCTTAAGTTTCTCTTCCTCCCTTCCAAACAACTGCCCGGCAATGTAATGAGAACTTGGCAATTTCCCACCCCAGAACCCGACAGGAAACTCTTAAATTCCATTCCCTCAGCTACTAGTTTATATGTGACCCTTGCCCCCACCCGACCCCCTGGGCGATNCCCCGATAATGGATCCGGGCGATAATGGATCCGGCTGTGAGGTGAATGTTGCCAAGAGCACATGTGCGAATCAACAGATATGTTGTACTGTTGAGTGTGCACAGTACACTGCCATGCGTTTGTTTTAGAACAAAGACGTAAATCAGATTGCTCCGTGATTACTATCTTTTCATGATTTATTTTTCACGAATAAATAAATATCATTATATTATGCAAAAGAGCAACAGTGACTTTTTATCTTGCCTGACTGATATGGAAATTGTTTCAATGCCTGTATGAAGGGGGTTGGATATAGTTGAGTATTTTCATGAGAACGTGCTAGATACTTGTAGTTTTATATTTATATACAGTCGTGTTACAAATACGGTTAAAATGGGAATCAGACCTATAATATGGATATCAAGAAACTTGCGATTATAAGACTGACACAGAGCGCACACATGTATCAGTCATTTTATGCTACTAAATTGAAAATGTATCTTTTTTTATTACGAATTTACATTACCTGCAGTCTTAATGAACTCCCGTGCCAAAAGTACAGTCAATAGAGGTATTCCTGGCATTTTTTTACGGTCAGTTAACGTTAAATAATTTGTGCACGCAGCAACTACATTTCTAAATTGCCTCTCGTCTTGTCCATAGCCTGATGTAGTCAAATGTTGGTTGATTGTGAGAGAAAAAGAGACATTTAGTGATATTTGAACTGTTAAAGCCGAGACGAAAACCCAAGTTGCTTTTCTAATCTGGCACTGAACTTTTTGACCTTGTCCCGCGGAAGGTCAGACCGCTTCCTTTTTCTACATGTTGTTTATCCCTCACAAATGCCAAACATTCGACAGACGAAAATATAGTGACTGCCCCTTCGTTTAATATGTACAAGACGCACAACGTCGATTCATCAGGTCTTCTCAAATGAAATTTTTAAACTTTTTCCACGTGAATTTATGTGTGGTACGTTGCAGGTTAATTATATTCAGATACTGTTAAACACTACTAAATGCAACATAATTCCAGATACTTAATCCAAGCATTTAAACAAGCAGCGTGCTACTAGACTTGGAGCAAACATTCTTATCATACTTGACTGATTTTGTGATATTGTAGCTGTACAACCAACACCTAATACCATCAGCCGGGTCGTACATTTAATGTTACAGCTGGGATGTAGTCAGCGGAAGAGATAAGGTGGAAATAGACAGAAAAAAAGAAGACAATGTAAACTAGATTAACCAAAAAAAAAAAAAAAAAAAGAATAATAAAAAATAGCCGGCTTAATAGGGACCTACTCTACACCCGTAGCCTCATTCCTAGTTTCTTCTACTGAGTAAATATAAGTGGCAGGCTTAGTGGTGGTGGTGGTGGTGGTGGTGGTGGGGGGGGGGGGGGGGGCAGGGGGGTTCCCACCTTCGTTTTTTTTTTTTTTAATCACACCAATGGTCCCCTCTTGAAATAGAATTTTGACTAGCTGTATCATTGTTCTAAACAGTACCAAATGGAATATATATACAAAAGATTTTCGGAGACCTTTAGCGGATCCAGAACCTCACGTCAAGGGTCGGCTTTGCAGCTGCGGTCCCTCCCCCCCCCCCCAACACCACCCTCCCTTTCAGATAATCTTGGATCTGCCCCTGAATATTTTGTTTGAGTACAATGGGCTATCAACTCATGATTACACAAAGGAAGAACACATTCACGAAATCTGCCGTTGCTACAGTTGAGACAGGCCATCACTAGCTTGTCATCCAATCACAACTCGGTTAAAAATAGCCGTATGACGAGCAGTGCGGAATTTCCCAACAGTAGGCCTACGCACCACCTTGGGATTTTTAACCTTATTTTAACCACGACAATCAAATACATAGACACGTGAAGCGAGGCAGATTGTTGTTATTTACGATTCATAGTTAGTTAGGTTTATATCGCACACGGTCAAGAGTTAGAGGAGACGGAGTGAGGCTGTCTATTTGACCATTGTTTTCACAGGTGTGGTGGAGATATACGTGGGTCCACGGCCACAGGTGAAATAAGATCTAGGTCAAGAGGAAGAGTCACCTACAGGTACATATTGTGTCTTTTTTTCACATCGAGCCATGGGGGTATAGGATATTTTTTATTCGGTAACAGATACTGTATAGTTATATTGATATTGGCAGATATGTTTGGCTGACCTCAGATAAAGAGATATCATATCTGCATCCTAGCTGCTAGGTGACAGGGTTTCTGTTTACACATCTTTATATATGTATGGGGGGGTTATATATATATATATATATATATATATATATATATATATATATATATATATATATATATATATATATAAGTGTACGTATGTATAATAGGTGCAATAGGTGTATATTGATACACTTTATCCACATATGGCAATTCTTAAGAAAATACGTTTGGAGAAATATCAATAATACAGAAAGATATTTAATTAAGTTGAAATGCTCAATATATAGGTACAAAATTGAAATGAATTGGGGAAGCGATTTATAGTAAGGTGTGTGTGTGTGTGTGTGTGTGTGTGTTAATGTACGTGTGTGTGTGTGTTTGTGTGTGTGTGTGTGTGTGTGTGTGTGTGTGTGTTTATGTACGTGTGTAAGGAGGGGGTATAACCTATCGAAGTTATTTTATGGCGCTGTCAACTCGAGCTATATATATATTACTCTATATATGTAGGCAAACCAAGCCGGATTGGGGGAACAAAAGACGGGGTCAGCTTTGGTTGGAGCCTTATACACCCACGCCACGCTCACCCACTACCAGGGTGGTAGTTATTATAGGCACATATTTCACATTTCGAGTGACAGAGATCCAAATGACAGGCTGTTTATCTGAAAACACATCTGTGAATATCTTTCGAAAAATAATATGAGGCCCTGGTAGAGAGTACGTCACGCTTGGGAGGGGTTCACACAATAACGGGGTCGAGGATACGCAGTAAAATATATGGATAATATAACATAGTGGTATTTTAAGCTACCGTATCTGTATATACCTGTATAGATGTTTTTCTTATATGAACAAATGTTAGGTCTGCTGTAGATAAAATATAATACTGAGTGCATCGATCAATTGTAACGTGGTCGAATATAGACCATTATGTTTATAACGGGGTTGGGGCGAGCTAGTGTGCGTGTGCATGTGTGCGTTTGTGAGTGTGCGTGTGTGTGTGTATGTGTGTGTGTGCGTCCGTATGCATGTGTGTGCTTTGACACAAGCAAAGAATACGGCTGTTTCACAATCAGGGTGAACAATTAAATGTGGTTAATGTTACAAGCGTCTGATAAATTAACAATTTATAATTGGAAATTGCTGATAGACTAATATCAAAGACACTGTTCATAGGAGCAAAATAAAATAAAAAATATAATTATCGGATTACAATTTACAAAAATATAGCCAATTATGTGTTCAAAAACTACCTATTTTTAGCTGTTACGGTGGGTCATTTGCAATCGAGGTCGTAAAGATGATGCACTAGCTTTTTATGTCAGTGAATTAAAGTGAATATGATATTGGTATATGATTCCCACAGCATGTGTCTTCTCTTCTAGCAGGTTCTTCCAAAGATATGTTCTGAGAAAAAAAATAATAATTTTGCTGAAACGGGATTTGATACACATTTTACTTATTTTTGTTAATGCAATGAAAAACATTTTTGATAAGGCCAAATATTACTTTGAAATCACGTACGTGATAATAAGATGATTTTACCATGTTATGACTTAAACATAAAGGAGTTGTGCATATGTAACCATTATTATTAATGCTATGGTATTTATATTCATGAGCCCCTTGGTGTCACCTACTTTTTGTAGTGTCCGTTAATATCGTGTTCTAAAAAGTTTGGATGTCATAGTTAAGATGTTATTCTTTTTATATGTAACAAAATTAAACAAATGCATGGGAGTTCATTTTTCTCTCAATGTGATCCCTATTTTGTACCCCTGATTGTGAAAATAGCGGTACGTGTAGTTGTGCCCGTGACAGGTAACGGCATGCCCAAAGGTGAGCATGAAATGGCATCATACTTGTACTCTGTAAAAGGTAAGGGATTGCTAGTTATTTTGGTGGGTGGTAGGGCAACTTACAGTATGTGTATCAGTAGGTAAGGGGTTCACATCAAAGGAATTCAGTGTTTTGAGAAAGTGAAATGTATGTCTCCTTGATCGAAAAAAGTTCAATACGGTGTCGGAAAAAAGCATTCAAGTGACAAACACAAGTATGATGTTCGAAAATTGGCCGATGCCGGCCGCTTTTATTGTGAATCCTTCTAATAAAATGAAATGAAATAATTTTAGAAGCTAAAATTGAATAATTGTGGCAGTGCCAAATTACGTCTGAAAAGACTTTATTTTATATATAATTCCCAAACAACATAGTGCAGACGTTTCCCTTTTTGTGCATCTTGGGACTTATTCTTTTCATTTACAAGTCCTTGGCTGTGATAATTTATTTAGTGTTCTTTTACACTATTGTGTATATTATTATTCATAGTAGCCTTTTTTACGTTTTTTTTTTTTTTTTTGTTTAACTAATGGATCATCTTTAGCAGACGTGTTTTGACTAGCGCCTTATGTTACAGCGGTGTGTGTGTATGTGTGTGTGTGTGTGTGTGTGTGTGACAACAAGTATCCCACACGAATAAACACATCTGTAACTGCTTTTACGTTATGTTTATCATCAACATATCCAGGGGCAGATAAGGTTCATGGTTATATTTTTTCAGCTTGCTAAATGCGCCATCCTCCATACGGGGTCTGGACGTACAGCCGTCTATAGCATTCTTCGTAGCTGTCAGGATTGCCCTAGCGGCTCATATGCTGCAACTCAAACATGGCGACTGGAGGGGCAAGACCAAAAACTAAATCCCTTTGGAGTTTTAAATTTCTTAGTTGGTTCAATGAAAAACAAAATGAAGGTATACATAATAAGTGATTCATTTGTTCGCCCTTTTATTGATTTCATCACCCACGCATTAATTTTCTAGATAAATAAAGTAAGTGATAGCAGTTTTTGTCATTTGTTTTATCCAATTGTTAATAAGAATTTCAATCGTCAGTCACCTTTTTAGTATTTTTTTATTCCATCACCTCAGGGAGTGCATCCAATTATCGTCTTTTTTTCGTATTCATCATTTTTACTTATTTTGCTACGTGGTGACTTCTTTTTCTTCTACAGTGACGGAAAGACAGGATCACAGATATGGGAGGGAGCACAGAGCAGACGGTGGTGCGTACGTTAAAGACTAGTTTAATAAAATACAACAAATGTTGAATTTTAAATGGACCAAAATGCTGATAATATGTGTTATCTTTCATGCCTTTGTTTTTACCATCAACTATATTGTTTTATTTATTTATTTATTTATTTATTTATTTATTTATTTATTTATTTTTGGTATGGAAAATGAACAGCTACCAGTTTTATTGACGAACGTTATTAGAATTAAGGAATAATGCCGAACCTTAGATACAGCTTTCATGACGTCTTTTTTTCGACAGATGACACTGCCCAGGATTCCTCCGGTGCCTCAACGTCCAGCTATGATCTTCTTGGAGGTTTACCAGATACGCTCTCAAGTCAATTAAATATTTCAAGACGCAAGAAATCCAAATACGAAAAATTTACCGAATCTTTGTCAAATCCATCCCAAAGTGCTTACTTTACAATGGGCGTGAGTGCCGAGACTTCCTGTGCCGTCACGGAGCTGGTTCAGGGTACGTGGCAAAGCAAGAAAACGGGGCGCGGGCAAGACACACGAAACCTTGACCACACCTATATTGTGGTTAAGAAAGTCGAGGCCATCATTAACGAAGGTTTGCTAGAGCGTTATAAAACTACAAAGAGGCAGCATCGCTTACGTCAAACACAGGGCCGCTTAAAACCTTATTATTACGTGGATCCCACAATGAAAAAGCCCATGACTGTCGAGACCGAATCCTCTGTATTAGATACACTAAATGAGGACATCAATGAACAGTACTTATTTCACGGAACAAAGAGCGCATATATCCCATCTATTTGCGCTATGGGACCAGATTTCAGGATTGCTCGCAAGGGAATGTTTGGTCGAGCAATTTATTTGTCAGAGAGCGCGACCAAAGCGGATCAGTACGCAGGTACGTCGAGGCTGGTCTGGAGTACGCTTACGTATGAATATGCGTATTATTGCTCGTTTTAGTTTTTTCATTGTCACGTTTCTTATTTCTGTTTTTGTGATAATTTCTTTTTAGCACAGGGACAGTGTGCACACGTACACTTTTTTTCCTCTAGGAGTCTTTCAGTAAAACGAAAATTTTAATTATTCGTATTTTCATATGCCATCAGATTACAACAATATTTTCCTTAAATTTAATCGAATGATTCTATCCTACACCAGACGAGATGGACAGTAGACGAACGGAGGACCTCCAAATCCTGATTTACCGCGTTCTTCTCGGCAATGTCTACTACTGCGAGGAACAACAGACATTTAGGAGACCGCCGTGCGTCTGTGGGGAGAAGATTTGCCGTGATCATCACGAGACCTTCGACTCCGTGATAGGTGATACCAGGAAGTTATTCCGGGAATTTCTTCTGTTCACGGCGGAACAGTGTTACCCGGAATACATCGTGACCTATGACCGCATTGACCAATTCCAGGCCAGAGGTAAGTTTAAACGAACAGCCAATCATGTTATCGTCTAAAGAGTACTTGTTTCATCAAAAAATAATATAAATCGTACTGTTAACTTATCCATGAATTTTAGTGTACACATCGTTCAAATGACAAACGAGACACCTGTAAAAGTAATGTCAAACAATAGAACAATTCAAGGATATTAACTCGACTTTATATGTTGATTTTAGCCGTGCCTCAACTGCCGGTGACGTCACTATGTCTGAGAGCTGCTGATCCTTCTCTGTTCATGGAGGAAGCTTACAAGGACGATGTGTGTATAAACCTCTCTCTCTCTCTTTCTGTCTCTCTCTGGTTTTTCTCCTTCCCTCCTTCTCTTTGCATTTAGTCTCTGTCGCTACATGTCGCTACGTACCTGTCCTATTGCTTTATATGGTTCAGCATTTAACTGTTTTCCAGGTAAATGAGATTGTTGTTAAGGGTGCAAATAGGTAAATACCACTGTTAGAAAGACTCATATTTTTCCCTTCTACTTTCAGGTCTACCAAAATTGTGGCCTGCCTCGTGGACGCGCTGTCATCGTCAACAACATCAATTTCCAGCACCACGAGAAGAGAGACGGGTCAGAGATGGACTGTAAGGCGTTGGTAGAGCTGATGGAACAGATGAGTTATACCGTTATTGTGCATAATGATCTGACTGCACAGGTGAGCAGGTGCGCGCGCGCGCGTGCGTGTGTATGGGTGTGTGTGCGTTTTATTGTCAGTGTGTTTGTGTGTGTATGCGTGTCTGTGTTTGTTCATGTGCGTATTTGAGTATGTGCATGTATGTGCGAGGATGCATGTATGTGCGTGCGGGTTTATTTGTTCGTTTATTTGTGTACATATATATGAATTAGTAAAACAGCTATATATCGTATTATTACAATCTTTTCAGTCAGTGTATCATAATTTATAATCTGTACCTTTTAAATGTTATGATTTTAGGGGATATTTGATGTGATGGAATCTGAAAGCAAACAACTTAGCCACTGGACTAGTGATTCCTTCATCGTGTTCATTCTGAGTCACGGTATGAGTAACGCTGTATATGGGACAGATGGCTACAGCTTGCCCTACAGTATGATGTATATGCACTTTACCACCGACAGCTGCCCCGCCCTGGCGGGAAAACCAAAAATGTTTTTTATTCAGGCTTGCCAAGGAAGTAAGTAAAAAACATATTAAATAGCTATGGTGTGTGCATTTTCAGAGTAGTTATAATTATTTGTAAAACGTTTTTCTTGGAACGAAATAAGTTGTTGATTGACGTTAAGACTATAAGTTTGTTGTCAAGCAGCATAAATACTAAATTAGATAGTTAGTGCATACAACAGACAGATCTGGTTAAAATAATACATTTCGGTGATGGATGACTTTACATTTGAAACCAAAAAATGTATTTCATCCAGCAAAGAAAGACAGTAGAGCCGCGGGAGGATCCGTCCCTCTAACAATGAGACAAGATGGCGGCCAGTCTGATTCTGTGCGGGCGCGTTGCAATGAAAGCGAGTCCAAATTTGGTGCTAACATGTGTGACATCGCCGTTGCCACGGCAACCACTCCAGGTGGGCAAAATACTAACATATAGAAAACAAAACGCACTTAACCAGGCGGGGATTTCATACGCATATAACCGGTTACTTTATTCAACAATGTTTTACGTAATTTAAAAAAAAAGGAATTAAGACGCTTATGTTGCTGTTTAATGTTTTGTTAGTTTTCCCCATCTTGACATATACATTTTTGTTGCATTTTTATTTTATTTTGAATCAATGCAAAATATAATATACATGTATCTTTTGACTGAATTCAATTAAATCTGATCGGTCAGTTATACATTGGTTCATTTCAGACTACGTGTCCTGGCGAAATAAGGAGAACGGTTCCTGGTTCATCAACGCCATTGTCAGAGTGTTCAGTGAGGAGGCGAGGAGTAAACACTTCCTGGAGCTTTTCACTTCGGTAGGTCAGGCAGAAATGTTGGACTTATTGGCTTGTTCGATATTATTGGGAATTCACTGCACGTTTAAGGGCTTCATTCACTCTGTTATGGTTTCATTCCAATAGTAATTTCTTCAATCATTTGATAAAGCGAGAGTTACTGAATATTGGATAATGGTTAGTAGTAATTAATTCTACTATTGAATGTCGTTATACTTTGAAGAATTCATTATGGAGTTTTACTGTTATTTCAAGAAATTATTCTACCATTGCAGTTCAGATTGTTCTTTTCCACCTTTTGGTCCAATGTTAGAGTGATTTTATATTAAACTCATCACTGCATTACTGGTATTGTTATGGTAACGTGTATCTGGTATTTTATATCACATTTCACCTCTTTGTGGTATTTCAGGTGAACAGCTGGGTTGCCAGTATGAAGACCCAAGGTCAAGGTCAGTACCAGCAGGTGTCCAGCATGGAAACCATGTCCTTCACCAAACGGTTTTACTTCTGGCCCCGCCTCTGTATAGTAAATGGTGAGCTCCAGGAGTTGGACTAGATGTGTGACGTCATGGGACGGCTTGCTTTATATATATTCCCATTTGTTTTGTTTAGTTTTATCGCCACAACATTACTGATAAAGGACTGTAAGTATCGACAAATGTCTGATAAAATATAAATATATAAATAAAGAGAGAGTAGTGTGCGCTAATAAGGTGCTTGTCCAAGATTATCGTAGGCGCTCGTGTTATTTACAACAAGCTAGGCGTCTTTCACGGGTGTTGCAGTGTATTTCTGGTCATGGTTTCCTGTTATTTTTTTAATTAACTTGAAAACCAAATTGACCATTTGTTTAACGTTGATTGAATACATGTGCGATGGGTATTTAATGACTTGTCACGCTGCGTGCCTTGCTGTCAAATACAGTAATATAACGGGGTTCGATATTAATATGCTACAAGTAGTTTTTTGCCATAATATTGATGTCATTTGTTCAATATATATACTTTTCAAGGGCAACGTGTTCCTGGGTCTAATTTGTTTTAGCAACTGTCAGATGGGAAAGTTACTATGTACATGCACAAAGTGCAATTTATTCAGATTCCTTGCCTCGTTTATGTACTGTGAGGGTTGTTTTAAACTATGGAGGTAGGGCTAAAACCTGCTTCTAAGAATGTGCATCATCCTTAGGAATATTAACTTTTAAATAATAATCCTGCTGCTAAAGAAACTGGACAATTTTGGGGTATTTTCTTGTTCCCAGTTCACTTGGAAAATGAATATATCATTTGAAAAAACGAAATGAAGTTAAAAACGAGTGTTGCGATACCAAATGTTGTGAAATCGTCGTTAATGCATATCAAGATGACGTACAATTCATGATCAGTAAAACAGAGAGAAAATCATATTAGCAGCCATGCGTGATGAAGTCAGATTTATGTGCATCAGCTGGATTGTGCCATTTGTTGCTTTTGAATATGATTCCAGTTTTAATACGAGGTCAACTAGAGGTATATTGGTGCAAGTATTTAGTGTTATGATTTGTTAAAAATGACATTTAGAGTAAATATTGGTCGCTTCCCTCTTTGCCAAGAAGGATGATATACATGTATAAACAGGTGCCTAAAATAGCGATATCACGGACACACACACACACACACACATATACTGACAGTCAATGAAAACGCATCATTTATTTATCAAATAATATTTTAAATTCCTTTAAAACAAAAAGAAAACAAAAGCTTTCGTGTGAAATATGACCCACTATTCAGTCAAACAAGATGACTCTCTTATGACCAAGCACGTGAACTTGCACTCGTTTATATGGTTGGAAGCGATACTCGGTAAAAAAAAAGGTCAAGAAAGTTTTTTGATGCGTTTTCATTGACTGTCAGTATACATATATATTAATGACTTATATATTAATGACTTAGTTATAAGATGCACATGTAGTTATATTGTTGGTTATCGATTTCTCTCAACGTCGATTTTAACATATATGCTTTGATTGCATACTTTTACTTAGGCTTTACGATGGGGTAATTCTGTAAAGATTGAACAAATGTTTTATGAAAGGGCACTCTTTATTTATTATTATTATTATTATTTTGTGTGTAAATTTTATTATATTTTTTAAAATTTTACCTAAAAACTAGTCTGTGTTAAGTGATAAAACATTGTCTTCTCTGTCGATTTAACTCTACAAATTACACGATCCGTTCAGTGAAACGGCAAGGGAATATATTTATATATAATTCACAAGTTGATTAAAGTAATGGACATTGAAGCAATCTGTGCAAAGTTTTATTGGACACTCTATACATATTATGTAAGACAGCTTAAGCTGGAAGCATAATCTATCATAATTGATTAATAGCCAGATAATAATAATAATAATAATAATATTAATAATAATAATAATAAAGCAAAAAAAGTGAAAAAAGTACTATCCGAGATCTTGGATACATAGATTGAAAAGTTTAACGCATTAGAACGAATGCTACAATAATCCGTGTTTTCGCGAACAAACAACTACAATCGCCCTCTCTTCTACTCCTGAAGCCATTGGCAAAAATACATTTTAGACTCTAGTTCTTTTTGAAACGTGAATGCAAGTCATTTTGTGTAGAGAAATTACAATCATCAAATGTTGATATTAGGACCGACTGGTATATCTGTTTTGTGCAATGTCATATACGTGTGCAAAATCATAAACCAATTGCAATTAAGGTTGGGTGTTCAAATCAACGTGTTTTCTTTCAATTAAAAAGCACGTTTCTGGTCCATAAAGCTACGGAATTTCAAATGTATTTCATTTTATCGCATATAAACCCTTTCAAAGATAATAATAATAATAATAATAATAATAATAATACATATACGTCTACAAAGCCGGTGACACCGTAGCACAACTAATGCAATGGAATTCAAATTCCATCGGTTCTGACTGGAATGTAATCAGTTTTGGAAGATCTGCGCTTGCGCGTTACGATCACTGCTGCTATGACAACAACGCATGCGCTGACAGCCATGACACCAGCTCCAAGTGTAGTGGCAGCCGGTGCCTGGGCACCTTCCTCGCCGTCCTCCTTATTCTTCCTCTCGTCTTTTACGGCAAACTCTGGGAAAACAAAGACGGGGTATTTAAACACATTCGATACGCTAGTCATTGGCAGTTGCAGCATTTGGTTAAGTAATAAAAAGGATACATCTTCTGCCTCTAATTGCTAGAGGAATACAAAATAAGACCAAAGGGGTCATTTTATTATGATGAGGGCCGGGGTGGAAAATGGCTTCATTAGTCTGCTTCGTTACGGTCATCAAACTTAGTTTTCAGGGCGGCAGCTAGGTGCAGAGATAAATCAATTCCAAAAACACGTTCGGGACGTTCAATTCAAACAATAAGAAATGTACCTTCCCTTTAAATTCAATATATATATATGTTACAGTACTTGCCTGCTACAGGGTTCTCTTTCTGGACGAACACGGGTCCCTGCACCAAGCTGTACACCTCTACGTCACCAGGTACCGCTCTCTTCCCCCTGCCGCCATTTTGTGGACAGGCGTACCCTTCACTGGGGCGCAGACATCTACTGTCCCGGTCAGTGGCGTTACACACGATGACGTCACAGTGGATGTACACCTCTGGATCGTTGAAGAACTCGAAGGCCTTGACGGTGAACTGCGCATGCGTGTCGTTAGAGGGATAGAAGCGTACCGTAGGGTCGTCTGGGCATCTGGAAATATACAATCATGGATTTATTTTATTGTGCTGATTGTTTACATTTGAACAATACATTGGTTAGTCAGTGTACACTTGAATGTTTATAAGTTCCCTTATATGTTCATCATCTTACACTATACCACCAGTAGCACTGATTTATGTACTGAATATCTACATGTATTTGTTGTTTAAATCCTTCTTTATGAAGGAAAAAATGCTATCTTGCATCAAGCTAACGGTAAGAAGCCTAACGACTTCAGTACAAAATCTGCAATTGTAATCTGCGATTGAAAACACCAAACTCACTTGTTGCTAATGAGGGCATATTGTGGATAGCCCTTCGTAGCCTTCGGCGTCGCCACGCAGTTCTGTAGGACCACCTTAAGATTAATGTCCGGAGTCAGTAAAGCCACGTCCACATACATGTCCTGGTTAAGTCTTACCACGTGGGGATAGCTGGTCACGGGGGAGGTGAAGTAATTGGAATGGTACAGGTCCATCCTCAGGGTGAAGTTACCATTAGCAACATACGCTCGGTTGCCGTACACTGTGCCCTGCATTAAGAGCAAAGACAATTATTTTATAAGTCTGTACGGACGAATTTATCGAAAACCAAAATAACCGAATGCGCCATAATGTTGATCTGTTACTCTTCATCAATATGGCTCGTTATTGTATTGCAACAACATATTTTTGGCAAATTGTACACGGAACTGAGACTACTGACCGTGCTTTGATTTAGTAAGTCTGAAAATACCACTGATAATAACAACACACGCGGACAAATACCGAGTAGAGCAAGGCATTCCTTTATTCCCCGGGTGTTACACAAAGTGAAAACAACCAAAATTATCTCACCTCAGCGACGAATTCCTCTCCTACGCCACCATATCTCGACAGCACACACTCCACTGTGTACCTGTAGTGCAGCTCGCGGTTGATGAGGGAGTTACTGTACGGACGGAGGACGAGGGCGTTTCTGTAGATGAATGTATCCCTGGTTTCCTTGACAAACGTAACATTACTGCTATTTGATATTTGTTAACAATTTGTATTAAGGACATACTGGTAATTTGGGGGTAACGTCAGCGGAGGCTGATATTAAGACGGTATTACTAACCAAAATTACGAGCGGATTATATACTTAAATATCTAAATTTTTCATTTTTCATGGCAATATACCCATGCGTACTAGTACATGTATGAGCTAATTTAAATGCAAAGGATGGTGATTTAATTATTTTTCATTTTGTTGTTACTAATTAAGACCAATATCAATTACCAGTCTGCGGGTTCCACACATTTGAGTGGCAAGGGTCACATGGAATATTGCGTTGCCGCCAAGGTATTGGTCAGGAACACACTTGATGTCATCCAATGTCAAGGTCATTGGACCAAAACGAGACTGGATGTCATTTACGTCCACCGTCACAGTCATACCCTTTGTCGAGTCACAATTCACGGAAACGTTGGGGTTCACTGAAACAGCAGCGCCATTGTTAAATGTGGGAAATTCAAGTTACATGTTGTATTACAACTTTTGTACTGTAACGACGATTCTAAATTTGGTTAAACCCAAGTCCATCTATACATAGATGACCACACTTGGTCATTTCAGTATTTAAAATAGCTTAGTCGCTTGAGGGTTAAAGGCTTTCATCTGTTCGGTAAATACTAATAAATATTGAAAACGTCCATTGTTAGCTTTTTTTTTTTCAAAAATAATTGTATGTCTTGGACATTGACATTTAACACATATACTTTTTTTTAGTAAGGTGGGGAAAATACACGTTATCAAGAATGTATTCCTGTATTGATGTTCCATGTATCCATGTTCTTTTATTCTTACCTGGTGGTGCAGCAGTAGCCTCTAAAAAGAAAATAATTTAAATCAAATAAGGCATTAGTATATGCAAGTTGAAGAAATCGTTGAAATACAAAGAAGCAAGTCATAATACAATCCATTCCTACATGTCTATATGGAACTTTGTGATAACCTCTCTTAAAACAGCTGCTCTAAAACAATACTTCCCCAAACAGACCGACATGTACCGACTTCGGTAAGCGCGAGGTAGGTCATATTACAGTTAAGGGCTACTTTACATCCCCCTTCAACGGTTTTGTTATTTCACGCCGTCGTAATTGGCAGTTAGGAAGATGAAACTTAAATAATTCACGCGCTGTCGCTACAAGACTGGTTGTTTTTCCAGCAGTGTATGTACGATTGAGGTGAAAGGTACGATAAAGTTTTGAGAGTTCCAGGAACGTGGGGGACGCACTAGTCAGCTGTCAAAGTACTAATACGAGTACCCATAAATTTTCATTCGTTGGAAATATAGTATACAAAACGTTAAACGGATAATAACTATGCGTGTGAGATCTATATTTTACAATAAAACATTGTGAACAACTCATAGAAGTATGATATATTCTGTTGTACAAGAAAAATGGCAGTTATAGCTATCATTCTGATATCTGAGCTTGTCTTTAGACCACGTGGCCTCCAATGATGGCTATGCTATATTATAATCTCTTAAGAGATTATAACAAAAAAAAAAAAAACTTTTTAGAAAAAAAAAAAAAA